GATCTCCTGGGCTCAAGCCATCTTCTCGCCTCAGCCTCCCAGGTAGCTGGGACTACAGGTGTGCACCACCATGCCCAACTAATTTTTAATATTTTTTTGTAGAGGCAAGGTTTCACTATGTTGCCCAGGCTGGTCTTGAACTCCTGGTGTCAAGTGATCCTCCCACCTCGGCCTCCTAAAGTGATTACAGGCATAAGCCTCTGCGCCAGGCCCAAGCAGTTCTGAATAATGATGAAATGGGCTGAGCTGAGAGAAGCTGAAGATGAACTATAAACAAAGAGTAACAAAGGAGCATTGGAAGGCACAGGTGGATGGGAATCGGAGTGTTTAGGGAGGTACTAGTCTCCAATAGGAACCTCTTTTTTTTTTTTTTTGAAACGGAGTTTCGCTCTTGTTGCCCAGGCTAGAGTGCAAAATGGCGCGATCTCGGCTCACCGCAACCTCCGCCTCCCGGGTTCGAGACTCTCCTGCCTCAGCCTCCTTAGTGGGATTACAGGCGCCCGCACCATACCCAGTTAATTTTTTTTGTACTTTTAGTAGAGATGGGGTTTCACCATGTTGGCCAGGCTGGTCTTGAACTGACCTCAGGTAATTCGTCCGCCTCGGCCTCCCACAGTGCTAAGATTACAGGTGTGAGCCACTGCGCCCGGCCTAGATATCTCTTTCAAGCTCAATCACCCTCTAGGTCGACTATACGGCCTAGTTGCTTTTCAATTTATCCCTTCCTCGCCATCCATACTGCCAGCCTTAATTCAAGTTCACATTATCACTTGATTGGATTATTTCAAAAGCTTCCCTACCAGTCGGTCGCCCTACACCCTCCTCAGCCTCCTCCGACGGCTTACTCCCCGCCTCTTTCACTTTCTGGAGAGCACTGCGCTCTCCATCCTCTCTGGGAATTTACCGATGCCCAGAACACCCTTCTTTCCCCCACACGACCCTCTCCTAGCCTAACTCCTGGGCGTGCTTTAAGCTCAGCTCAGGCAGCGTCACCTTCTCCGGAAAGCCCAAACCCAGTCATCCCCCCACCCCCGGCCCACGCTGATGAAGAGAGCAGTACACCCAACCCCCGCGTTCCCGCAGCGAATGCGGGAAAGAAAATTTACCTCCAGCGCGCTCTAGCGCGCCCAGCTTTTCGGCGCACTTCAGGGGGCGTGGCTCGGGCCCATCCCGGCGGCGAGGCGGCAGCACTGGCCAATAGGCAATTAGCGCGCGTCGGGCTGCCTTCCCCGCGCCGGACCCGGGAGGTCTGAACGGAAGTCCGACCCTTCGGCGACCCGACGGCTAAACCCCGCGCCATCCCCGACTGCCTGAACCGCTCCAGGAGACGGAGCGCAAGGCCAGCTTACCCACAGACGACTCAGGCGGGAGACGAGCGGTGTCATGGCCGCCTACAGTGACGATGGCGCAGCTTCAGCCCCCGCAGCTTCCGACGGTGAGCGGCTTCCCAGGGGTAGCCTTCAAAGCCTCTGCGCTCTGGGAGAGGGCAAGGCCTCGGGCTCATAGTTCTAGAGACTCCTCAAGCTTCAGAGGACTGCTCCTTCCGCTTGAACTAGCCACGAGGAGACTACAAGTCCCATTGTACACCGCGGCTCGGGCTGCAAAAGCCTGGAGCGTTGGGAGCATGGGGCTGATGGAGGCATGGCGGGAGATGTAGTCTGGAGCTCATAACGGTTACTAATGATAGTTGTGATTCAGTTCAGTGGGGTGGATTGAGCATTGTGGTCCAAAGGAAGGTAGGACGTATTGGCAGCTCTGGTGTGTGGCACTATCAGGCTCTGGGATTACTGGGAACTGTTGCTTATGGCGCTGGGGCACCATGAGAACAGTAGTGTGGATTCTGTGGGATATTAAGGGAGCTGAGATCCTCGAGCCCTGCAAAATGTTTCCTGCAGGACACGGGAAAAAAGAATCTCAAAGGTCATCTAATCCAACTTTCTCCTCTATATATTGTGACAGCGAGGTGGGAAGTAATTTACCCAGACTCATACAAGCCACGGGAAGACCCAGGCTTCCTCCCCAAATTCAGGGCACTCTCCACTCCAAGGCCTGTGTGTAGAACACGTGGGATACAAAGGCTTGTGGGAAAAGCTGCCAATGGAAACTACCCCCCTCACCACCATCACCGTGGCCTAGCTTGCTGTCTGTTCCCCTGGGCTCTTTCCTTAAGCATGAACATCCATCACCCTCTTAACCCCCAGGTGGTGTCAGCAAAAGCACAACATCTGGGGAGGAGCTAGTAGTCCGGGTTCCCGTAGTGGATGTGCAAAGCAACAACTTCAAAGAGATGTGGCCATCCCTCCTGCTAGCCATAAAGACAGCTAATTTCGTGGCTGTGGACACGGTGAGAGTTGGAAAACAAGGAGGGCAGGTGTTTGTGAAGGGGCTGGTGCTAGAGGCCTGTCAACCCTCCCTTTACCTCCCCACAGGAGCTGAGTGGGCTTGGGGACAGGAAGAGTTTGCTGAACCAGTAAGTATAAGCCCTGTTCTCTTTAGTGCCAGCCCTCAACTGTGGAGGGGGGCGGTCACAGACCTGGGTGGTTTGGGTCCTTCATAAGGCTAACTCCCAGCCACAGCAACCCCCAAACCCAACCCCAAGGTGCATCGAGGAACGTTACAAGGCTGTGTGTCATGCTGCCAGGACCCGTTCTATCCTCTCCCTGGGCCTCGCCTGCTTCAAGCGACAGCCAGACAAGGTATGAGCTGATCTCACCCCAATCCTAGGTCTGGCTGTGGGGAGGAGGGTAGAGAGATTCTGGGGAACATCAGATATGAAGCTTTTTTCTCCCAAATCTGTTTTTTTTTTTCTAACTTGATAGATTTTTTTTTTCAATAGGTTTATGGGGAACAGGTGGTGTTTGGTTAAATGAATAAGTTCTTTAGTGGTGATTTCTGGGATTTTGGTGCACCCATCACCCAAACAGTGTACACTGTGCCCAATGTGTAGTCTTTTATCCCTCACCTGCCTCCATCCTTTCCCCGCCGAGTCCATTGTGTCATTCTTAAGCTTTTACATCCTCCTAACTTGGCTCTCCCAAATCTTGATATAGCAGACTTTCTCTTTCTCCCAGGGTGAACATTCCTATCTGGCTCAGGTGTTCAATCTCACTCTGCTGTGCATGGAGGAGTATGTCATAGAACCAAAGTCTGTGCAGTTCCTGATACAGCATGGCTTCAACTTCAACCAGCAGTATGCCCAAGGCATCCCCTACCATAAGGGCAATGACAAGGTAGGCCTCCAGATTCCCTAGCCTTGAGTCTGCCCTTCTGTGACTTTATTTCTTCCTATCCTAGGCTGGATGCCTGGGGAGAACCTGCTTCTTAGGGAGTATGGGGAATCACTAGTGACAGGGCTTGGGAAACAAGACTGCTAGGAGGGTAGGTAGCATTGGGTAGAGAGAGAGAGAGCATTCCAAGTGGGCAACCCTGGGATAAGCGCCCAGCAGAAGAGGCTCCCTGGGGGACTCTGTCCTCCTCATTGACCCCTTTACTTTCACCTAGGGTGATGAGAGCCAGAGCCAGTCAGTACGGACCCTATTCCTGGAGCTAATCCGAGCCCGCCGGCCCCTGGTGCTACACAATGGCCTTATAGACTTGGTGTTCCTATACCAGAACTTCTATGCACACCTCCCTGAGAGTCTGGGAACCTTCACTGCTGACCTGTGTGAGATGTTCCCAGCAGGCATTTATGACACCAAATATGCTGCTGAATTTCATGCCCGCTTCGTGGCCTCCTACTTAGAATATGCCTTCCGGAAATGGTGAGGAAATGGTTGAGGGAAAGGGGTGGGGCCTGATATGAGTTTATTTCATTCACTTAAGATATTTATTGAGCTCCTACCATGTGCCCAGACAGTGTTTTAGGTGCTGAGGATTCAGCAGTGAACAAAACAGACCAAAAAACCCTGCTTTTATGGAGCTTATATGCTAGTGGACCATTACCCTCTTGCGCTGTTGCAGTGAACGGGAAAATGGGAAGCAGCGGGCAGCTGGCAGCCCACACCTTACCCTGGAGTTCTGCAACTATCCTTCCAGCATGAGGGACCATATTGATTACCGTTGCTGCCTGCCCCCAGCAACCCACCGTCCTCATCCCACCAGCATCTGTGACAACTTCTCGGTGAGAGCACCCACCTATTTCTTGGGAGGGGAGGTTCTGATGCCTGGAGCCTCTTTCTAAGCCTCTTTCCCACCCTTAGGCTTATGGCTGGTGCCCCCTGGGACCACAGTGTCCTCAGTCCCACGATATTGACCTTATCATTGACACTGATGAGGCTGCAGCAGAGGACAAGCGGCGACGGCGACGACGTAGGGAAAAACGGAAGAGGGCTTTGTTGAACCTAGCAGGGACACAGACCTCTGGGGAAGCTAAGGATGGTCCTCCCAAGAAGCAGGTCTGTGGGGATAGCCTCAAGGCTGAAGAAACCGAGGAGGTGGCTGAGAATGAAACTAGAAATCTGCCTCACTCCAACCAAGGCAACAAAAATGACTTAGAGATGGGGGTTACGGCAGCAAGGCCTGAAATAGCTGATACAGCTACCTCAGAAGTGCCAGGGAGCCAAGCCAGTTCTAACCCAGTACCTGGGGATGGATTGCACCGGGCTGGTTTTGATGCCTTTATGACAGGTTATGTGATGGCCTATGTGGAAGTAAGCCAGGGACCCCAGCCCAGCAGCTCTGGACCCTGGCTCCCTGAATGCCACAATAAGGTATATTTGAGTGGCAAAGCTGTACCCCTCACAGTGGCCAAGAGCCAGTTCTCCCGTTCCTCCAAAGCCCACAATCAGAAGATGAAGCTCGCTTGGGGCAGCAGCTGATGCAACTTCCACCTAGCACTCAGGTGGAACGGAGGTATTTTGGGTCTTTCTAGCCTGTAAATGTCATACTCAACTACTACTGAGTTTAGGGGAGGGGGAGTGTCCTGACAGACATATCACTGCATTGCCCTGGACCTCCTCCTTTATCTCAGTGCCTGAGGTACAAGTAAGAAGGCTGACCAGCACCTGTAACACCGACTTTATTTTTAAGTCTGAAAATGTCTTGGGAAAGTTTTACAAAAAAAATCAACAGAAGCAAGTTATGAAAATATTTGACCAGCTTCATCTTTGGTTATTTCTTATTGCAGCTCTGTAAGGACAGACTGTTCCCAAAGTTCCAGCCATGGCAGGAAGGGAAGAAAATCAGTCCATGTATAAACCATTTAATCAACTGAATGTATCACATGTTGACAAATACATAGAAGCAGGCCCTAGGGCCTACAAAACCAGCCCCACTCCCAACCACAAGGTTGAAAGTCTTATGGGGCAGAACATTAAGATTCCTTTATAAATATGAAAATAGATTAATCAATGGGAAAAAGGTCTTTGAATAGGTTAGCTAAGAGCCATGACCACAACACTGCCTTGCTCTCCCCTTGCATAGAAACGTAGTGACGTGGTCTGACCATGCAGTAAGTGCAAACAGCAATTACTCAAGTGTCTTAGAATACTGGCAAGAAGCACCCCAATCTTCAGGTCTGGGAAACAGCCATGCCCATTATGCCCTCTTAGTCAGCTCCATGTTCCACTCAGTAGCTTACATGCCCCAAGAAAGGGCAAGAGACAGACCTGGGGTGGGGAAAGAACCGGGGTAATAGCTGCCTGCCAGCTCAGCCTAGAACTAGACATCCTCTGGTCCTGTCTGGGGAAGTGCACTGGAGGGGGTCCAGTGAGAGGCAGACCTCTTTGCCAGATTTCGGAGGCTTGGTATCAGCTGTTGGCCCTAACTAGGAAGGCCTCTCACTCCTGCCTCCCCTATCATACACAGCCAATGGGCACCGGGAGCCCAGAAGTTGAGCCTGGGTTGGCCTAGCCTGCCTACTCTGTAGGCTCCAGGGAAGAATCAAGGCTGTGCACCTAGGGGGCCATATGGTTTCAGCTGAAGGTCCATCCCCAAGGTGAGGCAGGGACTAACCCCCCTCACCCATCCTGCTTTCCCTGGGTTTGCAGGCCTATGCCTGAGGTGGAAAAGGTGACTGGAGTTGAGCCTGCTGGCCTTTCTTCTTCTACCTCCATCTCCTCAGAAGCACCCACAGGGCATGGACTGGTCCCCTGGGGCCTGGACCCAAAACCGTTTTCTTCCTGGAGACTGGAGCAGTCCATAGCCTCATGGGCTTGAGCAGCTGGTAGGGCAGATGCCCGGAATGGTGGGATCTCTTTAACTCTGTACTTGAGACTACTTAGGCGTGGTGGGGGCCCATCAGATAGCGATTCTTCCCGGCCCACAAATGGACAAGCCTCCTGATGCAAGAACTCAGGCGAACCAGGCAAGGAACGCCACCGGCGAATAGGTGGGGCCAGGGGCTCCTGCCAGTCAGCCAGGGGCATAGTTCCAGGCCCTGGTGCATCCAGGTCAAATACCAGAGAGATGACAGACTTGCTGGGCAGGTCAAAAAACTTGATCTTGCCTCCCTTGAGGTCCTGGCGAGCACTAAAAGGGTTGACTTTGGGGGTGCGGGCAGCACCATCTCGTGGCTGGTAGTATGGGTCCAAGACGCTCACTGTACGTGAGGGCTTACGGGAAAAGATGTCTGACTGGCTTCGAGACAGCCAGATGGTACGTCTTGGGCATGGTGATTTGTGGGGGATCTTGTCATCCAGTGAGCTTAGTCGCTTCACCCCAGGTGCTTTCTCCAAGAGTCCTGAAGAATAATTAAGTCTGGGTTACTCTCACTAGTCATGACAAATAGAAGCAGCATTTTACCACAGAATGTTTTCACTCATGAAAGCAAAGTTGATACCACAGCCCCGTTTCACCAATGAAGAAACAGACTCGGAGACGGGAAGCAGTATGCTAAGCCACAGCTCTTAAAGAGGCCAGTACTTTCTGTGTTACCTCCTTCCCCTCCCCTTTATTTCTGGACCTGGGATCCTGGCCAAGAGGAGAAGGCCCCACATCCAAATTTCCTCCCTTAGGGTTAGGTTTGGCTCCCTGGTCTAATCTCTTACCCTTGGCTGTGGGCTGCAGCTTCCTATCCCTCTCCTGCTCTTCTTCCTGTAGGCGGCTCAGAATTTCCTGCAGGGTCTTCCCAATCTCCACAAAAGATGGGCGCAGTTTGGGGTCCATCTGTAGGTATACACAACAGCCATGAGCCCTGCCCTCCATCTCCCACCCCAAAGATGGCATTTGAGTCTATTTCTGGCATCTTTGAAGATTCAGATGTGCAGCTAAGAGACCTTTTCTCAAGGCCCCAGACAATGAAGATACAGTTCAGGTCAGGGAAAACACTATTGTCTACTTCCCTCCCTGTCTTAGTGTTTGTCTTGTCACCTTGTCACAGAACCTTCCAAAAGTATGCTCATATTAGTTTATTCTTTTCTTGAGTTCTGCTCCTAATGTGTTTCTGGGAGGTATCTGAACAAAGCCCACCTACCCCTTGATCCTAACAGGTAAGGTCTAGCCCCAGAGCTATATATATGAAGGCCAAGAAGAGCCTTTCTCATATGCCTCAGGACCAGTTGGATCCACAGTCCAACAATAAAACTGGACCAGAGTTCCATCAACACCCAAGGCAAGGAGTGATGGGTCTATCCTACAGGCTGAGGACCAGATAATACAAAGCAATTTTTTTCTTTCCTTGGTCCAGGGCTCCAAATAGGTTAGCTAAGAGCCAGAGGGAGGAGAAGGAGGTGTGGTTGCTGTCACTACAGTGAAAATGAGGTCCCTTGGCTGGGCGCGGTGGCTCACTCCTGTAATCCCAGCACTTTGGGAGGCCGAGGCGGGTGGATCACCTGAGGTCAGGAGTTCGAGACCAACCTCAACATGAAGAAACCCCATCTCTACTAAAAATACAAAATTAGCCGGGCATGGTGGTGCATGCCTGTAATCCCAGCTACTCGGGAGGCCGAGCAGAGGCAGGAGAATTGCTTGAACCTGGGAGGTGGTGGTTGCGATGAGCCAAGATCACACCATTGCACTCCAGTCTGGGCAACAAGAGCGAAACTCCGTATCAAAAAAAAAAAAAAAAGAAAAGAAAATGAGGTCCCTCATGAAGCTAATTAGCAGCCTCTCTGTACAGTCCTAACCAGATGAAAAGGGTTCAACCAGCCCCTGATGAAAGGCAGAGGGAGAAAGATACTCACATTACAGCAGTTGAAGGTAAGCTGCAGAAAGTCTGGAGGACAGTCTCCTACCATGTGCTGGAAGGCATCATAGTCCAGCCCGAAATTCTGTGGATGGGTATGGAAAGCCTAGGTAGACAGTTCATTAATCCCCCGACCCATCCTAGTCTACTCAGTAGAAGAGGTTGGGAGCTGCCCCTGACAACCAGCCACAGACAGTTCCAGCAAGTCCACCCCAGGAACAGAACAGTTTCATTGCTTCAAACTAGCCCCATCAGTGGCAATGATCCCCATGGTTGCAGCTCACCTCTGTGCGGGGAAGATAGTCCGGATCGGCCTGGATGCGGGCGATGATCTCGCAGAGGATGATACCATAAGAGAACACATCTGCCTGGTGGGTAGTCAGACTTTGGTTTCCCTCTTAATGGGTTGAGGGGTAGGGTATCTTCCCCTGCCTCTGCCTCGCCCCACCCCTCCATCTAACAACCCAGGCTTGGGTTAATATTGCCCATATTTCATCCAAGTCAGTCACTGGGCAGCTGCCAGGTACACCCCTGGTACCTTGTAGGAACATCTACCTGTTCTTAGTAGGAACATCTTGGACACTCTGCTAAGAGTAGATTCTAAGGAGAATCAGGGCTGAGCGCGGTGGCTCATGCCTGTAATCCCAGCACTTCAGGAAGCTGAGGCGGGCAGATCCCTTGAGGTCAGGAGTTTGAGACCAGCCTGGCCAACATGGTGAAACCCTGTCTTTACTAAAAATAAAAAAAAAATTAGCAGGGCATGGTGGCGCATGCCTGTAATTCCAGCTACTTGGGAAGCTGAGGCGGGAGAATAGCTTGAACCCGGGAGGCAGTGAGCTGAGATCGTGCCACTACATTCCAGCCTGGGCAACAGAGTGAGACCATCTCAAAAAAAAGAAAAAAAAAAAAAAAGGAGAATCAGGCCTTGAGATCCTCAAAACTTACCTTTTCGTTATAGGGCTCATCTCGGAGAACCTCAGGTGCCATCCAGAATGGGGAACCCACCACGGCCAACTTCTCACTCCCCATGCTGTGGGGTGAGATTATACAGAAAATGAGCTTGCCTTGGCTGGTGCAATGGAATCTTTTGACCATTCCTCCATCCCAAGGATGGGTATAGGCAAGGACTAACCAAATTTAGGGAGCTGAAGTTGAGCTGTGACCAAGTCCTGGCCTCTGGGGAGGAGGCTAGAATTTTCCCTTAGCTTCAGCCCCATGTCCCTTGAACCCCAGCATCCAGTAGGGCTACATACCTGACATCGGGGATCTTCTCAGCCAGGCCAAAGTCAGCTACCACTGCAGAGTAACCATTCTCATCCCTCTTTATCAGGCAGTTCTAGGATTCCCAGGAAGGAAGAGAAAATAATGTGGCTCAGAAGTGGGGATCAGTCAGCCACAGAGTTACCACCCATTCCTCCCTTCCTACCACAGGGCACCTTCTTCTCTGCTTCTTGGTGAACCACACTCTTAAGCTGACCCCACTGGTCAGATCAGGGGCTCTAAGACAGCCAGGTGAGATTAGTTAATCCTGGGTCTTGGTTACATTTAGGCTGCCCTAGGATACACTTCACATTCCAAACACAATTACTCGTCTTTGCTTTCTAAGTGCTAGGCATAGTTTTAGGTGCTAGAAATAGCTAGACGAAAACAACCAAAATCCTTGTCCTCTTGGAGCTTGCAATATAGGGGAGAACAACAGACTATCAGGCCCCTGGTCTCCCTTCCTCCTTCCTCAGAAACAGACCCAAAGCCCAGGCCTGACCTTGCCAACTTCATATAAGCACAAGACAAGTGTCTAAGCCTACACTAACCTTCACTGTCCACAAGATCACAACCAACCTCTTTGGCATTAAAAGTCTATGATCTGGCTTTATCCAACTGGCCTAGCTGCTGTTCCCCTGTTCCTGGTGCCCCTATGCACATATCCTCATCCAAACTTGTCACAGACAAGCTTGACTTACCAAACCTGAACAGGTCCTTCAAGCCTTTGCCTTTGCTTACACTGTTCTGTTCCATTTGAAACATCCTCCCAATTATCCTTTTCACCTAAGAAAATTTTGTCTTTTAAGGCAAGCTACCTTTTTAGCCATGACCTCATCTTTCTCTCTCCCTCTCATCTCAACTTCTTTAGCTCCTCCTCTATGATACTCCTCTTACAGTCTAGCAGAAAAGCTATGAACCCCTCAGGAGCAAGTTCTGGTTTGGTCCTTCCTTCCTCACAGGTTTCAATTCATGAGACAGGCTGAGAATATGCTCACTGAACAAATGCTGTCTTCAGGTCAACCCAAATGACCTGTAAATAAACAAAGCAGCAACCACCTCTCCCCAAATAGCTGCTTTCAAAATAGCCCTACACTGCTCTGGCTCAAGAGGCACCTCACCCCACCCCCTTCCTTCAGAATAGCAGACAGCAGGGATCCTTGGCTCACAGAAACACTTCTGGAGCCAGCAAGGCCCCATCTGACCCAAACCAGCCCTCCCTCTTCCTTGCCAGCCTTAGTATCTAGTTGCTAAGACATGGCCAGGTCACTTCCTGCTTACTCCTGTCAGGTACAAATCAATCCCTTACTCTGGCCTTGACATGATTACACCATTCCCCTTCCCCAAGCTGGAAGGAGCCGTGATTTCATCCCTTCTACCCTGGATCACAGGTAGACATGCCTCATCTCTGGCTTCCAGGAAGGACAGTCCTCATGCTTGTCCTGGCTTTGGCTCTCTCATCAGTCCTGCTGGCTCAGCACCCCCCACTCCCTGATTTTGACTGTCTGTAAGAAGATGGGCCCTAGGCCAGCCTTCCTATCAGCCAAAGCCCCAGCTATAGGGCACCAGCCTGTGAGGCAGTGGCAGCTCAAATATGTCACCTATGTCTCTTCCTTCCCAGAAGCCTGCCTACACTAAGCAGTAAGAGAGGCCCAGTCTGATTTCCCTGAGGCAAGAGGTGACCTTTTCAGTTTCAAAAAGCAGCCCAGGCACTACTGCTGCCTGGTTCCCATTCCTCATTGTCCTCACACCTATTATACCACACTGCAGCAGTGACTTACATGTTTGCCTCTTCACGGGCAAGGAATGATTTCATTTGTCTCTGTATCTGTAACCTAGCACAGGCACCCAGAAGGAGCTTGGCAAAAGTGTGTTAAATGAAAGTTTGAGGGCCGGGTGCGGTGGCTCAAGCCTGTAATCCCAGCACTTTGGGAGGCCGAGACGGGCGGATCACGAGGTCAGGAGATCGAGACCATCCTGGTTAACACGGTGAAACCCCGTCTCTACTAAAAAATACAAAAAACTAGCCGGCCGAGGTGGCGGACGCCTGTAGTCCCAGCTACTCGGGAGGCGGAGGCAGGAGAATGGCGTGAACCCGGGAGGCGGAGCTTGCAGTGAGCTGAGATCCGGCCACTGCACTCCAGCCTGGGTGACAGCGCGAGACTCCGTCTTAAAAAAAAAAAAAAAAAAAAAAAAAAAAGTTTGATCTGATGACTGAAGCAACGGGGCTTCTTTTAAAAGCATGTGTCAAGCTGGGTATGGTGGCTCATGCCTGTAATTCCAGCACTTTGGGAGGCCAAGGCAGGCAGATCACCTGAGGTCAGGAGTTCAAGACCAGCCTGGCCAACATGGTGAAACCCTGTCTCTACTAAAAATACAAAAATTAGCCAGGTGTGGTGGTGGGCACCTGTAATCCCAGCTACTCGGGAGGCTGAGGCAGGAGAATCACTTGAACCCAGGAGGCAGAGGTTGCAGTTAGCATGCCACTGCACTCCAGCCTGGGCAACAGTGAGACTCTGTCTCAAAAATTGAAATTACAAAAAGCATGTGTCAAACGTATACAATAATCATATATTCCACTCTCCATAGTGAGGACTGAGATGACAAGAGACTCAAAAGGGTGGCCATGGATGCATTTCCTGGAAACCTACACAAATTCTTCAGAACTGGGCCAGATCAGACACCTGAGAGAAGTACCTGAGGTGTCCTGGAACAGCTGCACAGTCAGTATTAACATTGAATAAAGCCACCTGAGTGGAGAAATGCCAAGTCTATTAATTCATGTTCACTCTAAATCAGTTAGGATGATCAGTTAGGATCAGGCAGGAAAAGACTGATTCTACTGAAAGACTGAACAGTCAAGAGGTTCTTTTCATAGCACAGGGAGATCAGTGACCGAACTGCTGGACTCCTAAATGCCTCAGGGACTGCTACATTTCAAGTCTCTTAGAGGATTATCGGTTTTGGTGTAATATGTCCCATCCCTTACCCTCAATCCCACCATGTGATCCTGTACCTTTACCATAGCTCTTGTTTAATGACCTGCTGACTTAAATATCTCCACAACTAGAGTAGAGCCCATGAAAGGTAGAGATTGGATTCCCCAATATTGTGCCCTCTAATAGCATAGCATAAATAGTTCCCAGAAGCTGCTGATGGTTTTAATTATAAAAATTAACTGCAGGGTACACTAACAGTCATTCTCTACATCCCTCCAGCATTCAACATTGTTCCTAATTCATGTTCTCTTCACTCTGAAAATTGGCATTTTCTATTCCTCGTTGTGTGGCATAGCCTGAGACCATAACTGAATAGGCTTTTCATTCTAGTGAAATCACCTAAGTGGCTTCTATGCAGTCAACAATAACAACAGAAAAGAACTAAGAACTAAAGGTGCAATTCATAATTCATACTCATTCCCAACAGTAACCACAGAAGATCAGTAGTACTTTCCTGATGTTGGGCAGTAATGGTATTAAGCAGAAGCAACTACTTTCTCAGCTGCCCCCAAGAGCCAAGGCTCGGGTATATGTATACTGGTTACTCCTAGAGCTACTGATAAAAGCCTGTGTGTGGCTATTGGCATTTCTTCATAGTGCTCATGAACTGAGTGTTTTTAAAGCCACACTGCCTCCCACTTCCTTCTAAGTAAGTTCTTAGCCTTGCCACTGTAAAAGTCTGTTTCAGGCTGTTTCTTAGAAGTAATTACAAAATGAGACTGAACGGCTATATCTGACAGACATTTTACTCTTAGAGTATTATTGCAGTAGCTGCAGACATGAATCCTATAAAGGCAATACTACTTTCACGAGGCACGTTGATAGGAAACTTGGGATCTTTTTGCTTCCAACCACAGGCTCAGGATCATTTGGAAAAAGGCATCTACTTCTCTCTGTCCTGGTTTACCCATGTGGAACATGTTACCTCTACTTTAAATCCCTCCTGTCAGCTCTGGTCTGAGCAATGTGGACTGATCACTCCTGCAAAGTCAAGGACAGCATCTATTTTACAGACTGGGAACACGGAGTTCTAAGGTCATTGAAGTCATTCAGAGATGGGGACAAAACTGGGCCTGGGACCCAGAATCTCAGCTCTGGAGCAGGCGTTTCAGCCTCTTTGCTATCAAGCCCTTCCCTGAAATATGCCCAGGAAGCCTTTACTCTCATAGGCTCTATGCTAGGTGCTAAGAAAACAAAAGTAAATAAGAGGAGCACTTGAGAAACTCATATGCTGGTGGGAGATACAGACACAACAGAACAATCAAGTGATATGGAGTGTATAATATTAAAATGTAAGAAAACCTGATACTGTCCTTAAAGAAATAAAACACAGACCCAAGATGGACTATGAAGAGAGAATTTAGAAACCTCAGAGCCCTCTACTGTCCCTTTTGCTTTATTTCTCCTTGGGACTTTTTGTTCTTAGGGCCACTGCCACCACCACACAGGTATCTTGGGTGGGCTACTCTGGCCTAGGTGTAGACATACACTCCTCTCCCTAATTCCTGCAACACGGTTACAATGAGGCTGAAACATTCAGACAAAACTTTACCAGATAAATCTCAGAGATGATAAAAGGGCAATGAACACAGACAGTATCTCAAATTGGACAGTCTGGTTCATAAGACTCACTTGTTTGTCTTCAACTTGAGATCCCCTATAGTATACTTCCCAGCCTTCCTCTAGAGTTTGCAAAAGTCCTTTGCTTTCACCACCTGGAAGTATCCTCAAAACCTCCTTAAAGTCCAGACCCAAGAAAGTATAGCCCAGAAATATAGGGAGTTATTTCTCCTATGTTCCTAGTTTCTTGTCTCAAGCCAATTGACACTGGCAATACTCATTCCCCATTAGGAAAAGCAAAGGATAGTGGTCTTATCCTATAGTCCAAAAAGGTTAATTATTTTTGTAATACAGCACAACAAGCCCGGACAGAACCACACTTGGACACTAGTGCAATGGGACAAAGTGCTTTCAGGGCACAGAAGGGAATATGATGAACTCTTAGGGAGTGGAGGCTTTCCTGGAGGAAGCATAGCTACCCTGGCCCAGAGTGATCTTTCCTGCTCTGAAAACTTGTCGTCTATGTAGCTAAACAATTATAAAATGCTGTCCACTACTTTTTAGTTATTTGCCAATAAGACTGTACGCACCTCTAGGTCAGAAGTTCCTCTTTTCTAATATTCTTTCATCATTGCAGCCAGAGACAGGAGACACGTGTGTGTGTGTGTGTGGGGGGGGTGGATATCTGTGTAACTGATACATATTTTGTCACAAACTCCCTCTATCTTAGAAAAAATGGTGCTTTCTGAGTAGGAAGCAAGGATTTGATATCTAAATTGATTCAACCCCATCCATTTACCTGGAACAAATGCATTTTTATTTTTATTTTTTCAAGACGGAGTCTCACTCAGTTGCCCAGGCTAGAGTGCAGTGGCACGATCTCAGCTCACCTCAACCACCATCCCAGATTCAAGCGATTCTCCCATCTCAGCCTCCCGAGCAGCTGGGATTACAGACACCCGCCATCGTACCCGGCTAATTTTTGTATTTCATTAGAGATAAGGTTTCACCATGTTGGCCAGGCTGGTCTTGAACTCCTGACCTCAGGTGATCTGCCCACCTCGGCCTTCCAAAGTGCTGGGATTACAGGCGTGAGCCACCACGCCCAGCCTGCACTTTTCTTAGTTTTGGTTTTCCAAAACATTCTGGGGGAGAAGAAATGGCTAATGAAGAGATAAGATATCACCTTTCAGGTCCCAACTGCCTAACTGTCCAGTTCTTACAGACAGTAAAGTAGATAAAGGGCTCCTTATAACTAGGCCTCAGCTGGTTCCCAGTTTCTACTTGCCAGTCTTGTGCTCCTTCAGGAACAGTGCAGCTGACTACAAATGACTCTGCCACACACCAAAACCATTCCATGTGAGGCATCCAGGTACTTACTGCTTTAGGCTTTATTGACTCAGAGTACTGCTACTTCTGTTCCCTTTCAAGCTTTTTCTTAAGACAGGCTCCCCTCCCCTTCATCTAGGGCAGAAGGAGGAGAAGTATGTGCATGCATGTGTGAATATGTGTACATGTAGGTATTGAGGGTGGGGAATGAAGTGACAGCTATTCTTAGGCAAGTACAAAACTCTCATACACCTCCCTAGCAGACTTTAATTCAGTTCTTGGGCAGAAGTCATATTAGATATGTTAGATCGCCTTATAGCTCCCCCATCAATAATCAAACAGTATTATTTATATAAACCTTGTCATGATGGTATCTTAGGCCATTTGGCTATGAGGTGCCTGTTTTGTGGCATGGCCAACTTCCTCTGAAAGAGACTCTTTTCTAACCTGGTCACACAGCAATTTGGACAGCAAGAGTGCTACAGAGATCAGCTGATGCCAAAGAGGAACTGGCAGGGCAGCAGAAACTCAATCACACAGGCAGAAAATGGGTCAGTACATTATGGCCCTAAAAACCTGCATTCAAGTGACTAAAAATCACTGAACTCCTGCTCTTAGCTAAGACCTACATCCTGGGGGCCACGGGAAAGAAAATTGATAGGCCCCTATACTGCCTTGACTGCTGTCACTCCTATAAGGCAAGAATTTATTAACCTTTCTCATGTCATTTGCTCTTGTTACACATATTCAGGAGATTGAAGTTAAACATGAAGGCTCTCAAGATGTATGCGTTGGCTGGGCATAGTGCACGCATGTAATCCCAGCACCTTAGGAGGCTGAGGCAGGTGGACTGCTTGAGTTCACGAGTTTGAGACCAGTCTGGGCAACATGGCAAGACTTCATCTCTATTAAAAATACAAAAAAAGGCTGGGTACAGTGGCTCACGCCTGTAATTCCAGCACTTTGAGAGGCCAAGGCACATGGATCACCTGAGGTCAGGAGTTTGAGACCAGCCTGGTCAACATGGTGAAACCCCATCTTTATTAAAAATACAAAAAATTAGCTAGGGGTGATGGCGGGCATCTGTAATCCCAGCTACTCAGGAGGCTGAGGCAGGATAATTGCTTGAACCCACGAGGTGGAGGCTGCAGTGAGCCAAGATCACTCCATTGCACTCCAGCATGGGCAATAAGAGCAGGAAAAAAAAAAAGCCCCAAAAACCCAAAAATACAGCTAGGCATGGTGGTGCACGCCTGTGGTCCCAGCTATTCAGAAGGCTTGATTGCTTGAGCCCATGGGGTGGAGGATTGCTTGAGCCCATGGAGGAGCCCATGGGTAGGAGGATTGCTTGAGCCCATGGGGTGGAGGCTGCAGTGAGCCAAGATCATGCCACTGCACTCCAGCCTGAGTGACAGGGTGAGACCTTGTCTCAAAAAAAAAAAAGTATATGTGTTGGCTCACTCAGCACTGAAAGGAACCTTCTGTAAGAAAATATAGGCTTATGGTGGGGCACAGTGACTCACGCCTGTAATCCCAGTACTTTGGGAGGCCAACGCGGTGGACTGTTTGCAGCCAGGAGTTCAAGACCAGCCTGGCCAATATGGCAAAATTCTTCCTCTACTAAAAATTAGCCAAGTGTGGTAATGCGCACTTCTAGTCCCAGCTACTCAGGAGGCTGAGGCACGAGAATCATTGAACCCAGGAGGCAGAAGCACTCCAGCCTGGGCAATAGAGTGAGACCCTATCTCAAAAACAGAAGGAAAAGATGTAGGCTTTCTAAGGACTAACTATAAAATGTAACGAATTATGTCCTCTGTGATTAAATGTTAAATCTGACAGCTTTCTTGGCAAAAGAGAAGGGTGGTATCTCTCAATGAGTTGTGAAAGTAAAGCCTTCATACCTTAGATGTGAGGTCCCGATGAAAAATGCCTTTGAAGTGAAGGTAGCTGAGGCCCACTGCTATGTCATAGGCCAGTTTTACCCTCACAGTCCAAGGCAAATGCAGGTTACTGTCTAGCAACTGTTCCAGGTTCCCGGAGTTGATATACTGCAAAACAGAAGGAAAACCCAGCTACCATTTATCAGAAATGTTTAGGCTAGTAGTGAAACCATTAGAGAGTAAACACCTAGAAGAGAGAGACTTTTTTTTTTTTTTTTAAGTTGTTGAGGGCTTATTCTGCCTCCAAACACTATAGTAGGTGCTGCACACAATGACACTTTCCTTTAAGGAGACCAAAATCTATTAAGGGACATAGACAAACAATATCATATAATAACTATTAAAATATAGTTATGTGCAGGTAGGACAACACCATGCAGTACCAAGGATAAAGCTAAATTGTGAAGGCATTTCAGAGGAAGATGCAGAGAGGAAATAAGGAGTCAGAAAGGATGACCTGGAGTAGCAGGAAAGAGGGACACAGAGGGAGCAGCATATGCAAAGTTACAGGTTAAGTGCATGATGCATTCAGGAACTTAATTTACTTCGATATGGCCAGAGTGCATTTATAGATGAGTCAGGAAGTGAGGCTGATATGTTTTGCTAAGATATGTGAACTTTATCCTGTCTATAGGAAACAAAAGAAGCATTTTAAGCAGGAGAACCACATGGTTATATTTGCTTTTTAAAGAAAATATTATTTTAGCAATGGTATGATAGATGGATTAGAGTGAAAAATACAGAGAAAGGGAAATAGGAGATTACTGCAATAATCCTGGTGAGAGCAGGGCATCTGAATCATGGCAATAGTAGAGGCACTGGAATGAAAGCAAGATTCAAAATGTATTTAGATGGCAGAGTTGAAAAAAAAATTGATAATTACCTGGATTAGAGAATGAGAGCAATAGGCTATTGGTCCCTGGATGTCATTATTAAATACCCAGAGAGTAAGGAGAGGAGTAGGTGTTTAGAAGATGAGGCAATGTTAAAAGGCAGTGAGTTCAGGCCAGGTATGGTGACTCATGCCTATAATCCTAGAACTTTGAGAGGTAGGAGGATCGCTTGAGCTCAGGAGTTCAGACCAGCCTGAACAGCATAGTGAGAGAGACTTAGTCTCTACAAAAAATAAACAGAATTGGCTGGGTGTGGTGGCTCACGCCTGTAATCCCAGCACTTTGGGAGGACGAGGCGGGCGGATCACGAGGTCATCCTGGCTAACACAGTGATGAGACCATCCTGGCTAACACAGTGAAACTCCGTCTCTACTAAAAATACAAAAAATTAGCCAAGTCTGGTGGCGGGTGCCTGTAGTCCCAGCTACTCGGGAGGCTGAGGCAGGAGAATGGCATGAACCTGGGAGGCGGAGCTTGCGGTGAGCCGAGATCACGCTACTGCACTCCAGCCTGGGCGACAGAGCGAGACTCCACTTCAAAATAAATAAATAAACAGAATTAGCTGGATGTGATGGTGCACACCTGTAGTCCTAGCTACATGGGAAGATCACTTGAGCCTGGGAGGTTGAGGCTGCAGTGAGCTAAGATCATGCCAATGCACTCCAGCCTGGGTGACAGAGTGAGACCTTGTCTTTAAAAAAAAAAAAAAAAGATAGTGAGTTCAGCTGGGAGAAGTTAAATTATTAAAGTTGCAGGTGCTTATTGGACAACCAAGGTGGAAATGATCTAAATACAGTCAGTTTGAAGTTTAAGAACAAAGTCTAAGTGAGAGACTTAATATTTAGGAGGCAAAAACATTGAGCTGAAGCAGTCTTGCATTCCAAGGTCATGCATGCCCAGGGTTTAACATGTAAGATGGGAAATTAACAGAATCCCAAGGAACAGGCAAGAATGTCAATAGGAAAACATTCTAAACGTTCAGAAGGACAGCCAGGTGCAGTGGCTCATGCCTGTAATCCTAGCACTTTGGGAGGCCGAGGCAGGCAGATCACCTGACATCAGGAGTTCAAGACCAGCCTGGCCAACATGGTGAAACTCTGTCTCTACTAAAAATACAAAAAAATTAGCTGGGCATGGTAGCAGGTGTGTGTAATCCCAGCCACTCAGGAGGCTGAGACAGGAGAATTGCTTGAACACGGGAGACAGAGGTTGCAGTGAGCGAGATCGCACCATTGCATTCCAGCCTGGGCAACAAGAGTGAAACTCCATCTCAAAAAAAAAAAAAAAAAAAAAAATTAGCTGGGTGTGGTGGTGTGTGCCTATAGTCCCAGCTACTCACAAGGTTGAGGTTGTGATGATCACTTGAACCTCAGGAGGTCAAGGCTGTAGTGAGCCATGATTGTGCCACTAGATTCCAGCTTGGGCAACAGAACGAGACCCAGTATATTTATTTATAGATAATAATAGCAGCTGTTATTTATATAGTACTTAAATTGTTTGAGGCACTGTTCTGAGAGTTTTGCATATATTATCTCATTTAATCTGCACAATAACCCTGTAGCTATACTGTTACTTTTTTTCCTTTTTTTTTTTTTTTTTATGTCAGACAGGCAACATGCAGACATTAATAAGGTTTGAGGGTAATAAACCTCATACATGCACGTGAAAATCCAATAATCATGCTATGGACTACAAAAGGACTATATACTATTACTCCTATTTTAGAGAAGGCATTTAGAAATTAAGCAACTTGCTTAAGATTATCCAATTATTAAGTGGCAGAGACTGGCAGACTCTGCATTCTGGCTCAAGTCCATATTCTTTACCACTACGTTGCACTGGAGAGTTAGAGACCACAGCATCTGAGTCAGAGAGCCTCATTCAGCACAGGAGCTCAAAAATGAATTTACTCAAACCTTATATGATGTATTATTTCCCTCCTCCTCCCAAGGGAGAAAAAGACAGAAATTCCTCTGAGCCTAAAATTTGTATCTTAATACATATTTTGGGGTACTATTGAATTTACAAAGGACTAGGGAACTTAATGGGATAAGAGGAGAAATATCTGAATTCTAGCCCAATTCAGCCTCCTAATAGCCATTTAACTTGGACAAATCAACTAATAAGGCTATCCATCTTTCACTTTTCTCAACTATAAGTAGGTATGATAATCCCGGATTCACCTAATTTGCAGTGTTATGAGAATCTAATAAAATACGTGAAAGTCTCATGCCTGTAATTCCAGCACTTTGGGAGGCCAAGGCAGGCAGATAACCTAAGGTCAGGAGTTCAAGACTAGCCTGGCCAACATAGTGAAACCCCATCTCTACTAAAAATACAAAAATTAGCCAGGCTTGGTGGTGGGTGCCTGTAATCCCAGCTACTTGGGAGGCTGAGGCAGGAGAATCGCTTGAACCCGGGAAGTGGAGGCTGCAGTGAAGCGAGATTGAGCCACTGCACTCCAGCCTAGGCAACAGAGTGAGATCTTGTCTCGAAAAAAAATATGTGAAAGTTGGCCAGGCGAGATGGCTCACTCCTGTATTCCTACCACTTTAGGAGGCCGAGGCAGGTGGATCGCCTGAGGCTAGGAGTTCGAGGCCAGCCTGGCCAACATGGTAAAACCCCGTCTCTACTAAAGATACAAAAATAAGGTGGGCATGGTGGCAGATGACTGTGATCCCAGCTACTCGGGAGGCCGAGGCACGAGAATTGCTTGAACCTGGGAGGCAGAGGTTGTAGTGAGCAGAGATCATATTACTGCACTCCAGCCTGGGCAACAAAAAATAAAATAAAACATGTGAAAGTGCTTCAAAAAAAATTTAAATGTCATGCGCCAAAAAGAACCAGTTGGGGGCAGCACCATGCAGCACTTCAGATCCTTGGAAGCGTCGATGGGTTTTGGCAAGGCAGAAAGAATGACTAAAAATAAATCTTCTAACTTCTCAAAAGGGAAACTTGTTGATCTGCTTCATCCTGCTTGATAATCCATCTTTGAAAATCTTAAAATAAGGCATAATGACGGCATAAGCACAGCGCCTTGCTCTCTTCATTCTAGTTGAGTCTGCCTAAGGTTCACATTTGAGGTGCCCATTTGCTGAAAAGAAACTGAGCTTGTGAACTTCAAGTTATAAGTGGGCAGTGAAGCTGACGTCTCATCATGCAGGCAGGTTTCTTTAGCTCTGAAAGTCAAAAGGTAGGCAGTGGTTCACTTCTTTAGCATGATGACAGTGTGATATGTCGGGCCTGTCTTCATGAGCCACTCAGGTTTCCCAACTGAGTGCCAGGCAGAAGACACTATAATGAAAAGACTGTATGTGCACTCTCTATAGGCCAGGTGAGGCCAGGACTCTTGGCTCTGGGAAACACTTGTTTACTCTGTTCAGCAATGTCTTTGAAGACCCTGGAAATCCATATGCAAAGCCAGAGGGTGGAGAGCACAGGAAAAGGTGACAAAAGATGAGGAATCACACTTGGCTAATAGATTCTGGCTTTTCCAGGCAAGATGGAAAAAGCGCAAACCAAGGATCAGGGAGGAAAAACAAATGGAATTTGCTTTTATAACCCATTTCTCTTGCCTGCCTTTGGTGAATAAATTAGTTGGGCTGATAAGCCTCTAGGCCCTCAGAAACCACTTCTCAATGTTTCAAGACCTTTACATGTATGAGAAAAGGAAATTTAAGATCTGCCAACAAGGAAGACTTCTTTTTTTTTTTTTTTTTTTTTTGATATGGAGTCTCACTCTGTCACTCAGGCTGGAGTTCAGTGGCGCCATCTTGGCTCACTGCAACCCACGCCTTCCAGGTTCAAGTGATTCTCCAGTCTCAGCTTCCCGAGTAGCTGGGATTACAGGCTCGTGTCACCAGGCCCAGCTAATTTTTGTATTTTTTTTAGTAGAGACAGGGTTTTCCCATGTTGGCCAGGCTGGTCTCGAACTCGTGACCTCAGGTGATCCACCCGCCTCAGCCTCCCAAAGTGCTAGGATTACAGGCATGAGCCACCGCACCCAGCCAGAAGATTTCTACACAGTCTCTGTGCCCATTAGCTGGAATGTTCACTTCTCCATAAGCAACTCGCAGTGCAGACTCAGCTGGTGTGGCTTCTAAACAAATCCCTCTGCAGGAAGCAGAGACAAGAGCAACTGTATTAGCATGTTCAGCTTTCCCAGACAGGGATAACAGCTGTTTTGCTTTCATTTTCAGCTAGACCACTCCCTCG